TGCAGTTTTGACAATGTAATTTATAAATTAAATTGTCAAAACTGCTCCAAAATCTGCATTGGAGAAACATATCACAAAAAACCAATAGAACAACAGTAAATTATAAAACAGATATCACACATTTAGGGACGCATTATGCTGACTTATTAAACAAAATTAAAATTTAATAAAAATGAAATTGCAGCTACATAAAAAAAAAAATTAACAACAATAGTATAAAAATAAACTATACATATCCAAAAGTCAATTGTATTCACCATGGCAGACACCCAATAATTGGTCTGAATGTATGATGATGCTCTGGATATTGTATACTTAAATTAATTATAAGATGAATTTAGAACTTGACAATGGAGCACATTAGATTTAATGTAATTACAAATTTAATGTAACAAACCAATTCTGACATGCATTGTAACATACACTATATTTTAACTCAATGCAACAAAAACACATTGGAATCGTAGTTCTAAAAATGGGAGTAATTATCCCGAAACGTTAACATGTAATTCGGAAATACAACAAATAAATTCAATTGTTGTTTAATTAGAAGTCATCATTGGCAAAAACAAAGAACGATATTAACTTTTTAAATAAAACCTAAAATATTATAACCCCATAAAAAATTGTATTAACTCAACTTCCACACCATATGATCAATGCCTTTCACATTTCACAGTCATTATATTGTTAACATTTATTTATATTAATTTCAATTATAGAATGGAACAGAATGAAATTAATACTGGGTAATTTCTATAATATTCTCCAAATTTCCTCCAAGTCTGGGTCAAATCGAATGGGAAGTTTTTAAACTATGGGCGTGTCAAATAATGCATTTCTTGATCCGAAAGAGGAAATATATTTTTTTTTTGGAGTGGTGGATATAATTTGATGAAAAATTCTGACGTACTTGATTATCTGGTTACCAACCTCTTCCCTATAAATCTGAGCCAAATCGAATGTGCGGTTTTAGAGATATTGACGTATCAAGAAAACACGTTTGCGCATATCTAAGAGAATGCAGTGGACGGAATTAAATAAAATTGACACTACATTAATTTTTTACCAATACCTACCTTTTACCCAACTCTGAGCCAAATCGAATAGGCCGTTTCTGAAATATTGGCATATCTACAAAAACGCGTTTGTGCGTGCGTGAGCGTAAGTGCTGGATGGAACTTGATAAAATTGATATTTGACCATGTAGACACCAATGCGCACAATCTCTGAAAATTTTCATGGAAATAGGATAAATGGTAGTAGGTGATATGCTCGTTACATCGATTTGACTACAGACAGGCAGACCCATAGACAGACAAACAGACACCGAACCAAATTTGATCTTTGATGCCTGAAACGTAAAACGCAAGTGGAAATTTTCGATTCCGAGCACAATTTTTTTAACCTCTCGCACGAATATAATACATCCCTAATTTCGGTAATGAGCAGGCAAAAATTTAAAATTAAATAAAGAAAAATAGCATTATATTAAGAAAAATGACTATCAAAGCTCACATTTTTATTTTTAACACGAATCGTTAGATTCAGAAATGCTAAATGGTCCACCATCATTAATATAACAATGATCCACCCAATTCATGGTATTTGAGCATGAAAGGAGCTGATATTTGGTATAAAACCGACTTCAAGTCTTACATGAGGAGGTTATGGACGTGGGGGTCACTGATTTCTTTTGTGATACGAGATCGAAAAATCTATGTCTAATACACAGATATTAGACAGCCCAATGTTATGTCCGGAATCAGACCATTTGCAGAGATGACCAGCGGAAAAATCCTCACTTTATCAAGTTTATATAATTGTTTGAACTCCTCACCAAGGTCTTGATATTTGCGTTTTTTTCCGCAATCATCTTGTGAAGATTATCATCCGATCATATCATTATTATTTCTATTTTTTATTCTCGCTTTGCGGTGTGTGTTTCTGAAGTGGGAGACCAGATGTCAAGCCACCTTCATATTAATATTTAATAATTTTTTTAACCTTTAAAAGAACTGATTATTGTTATTATCTTTATTATTCTCGCTTTTGCAGATTCAAAGCTGAAGGTGGGGGACAAGTACAACCACCTGCAGTTATAATTTTTTTAGATATTTAAGAACGTTCTCGTAATTCTGGCTTTATCCAAGAGAACCGCTTGCTGGGCCTCTCTTAACAAATGAAGGGGTAATTCCAAGCCGTCCGTACCTGCCACCGTTGACTTTGGGATCAGACCATTTCTTGATATTATTGGAGTAACGGACATGCTATCAAGAGCCTTTCTCGAAGAAGAGGGACCGGAAGACGTCGACTTTTCTAAGGCGGTTCATGCCATTACGATAGAATTGTTGCCGGTGCCATCAGAAGATATAAAAATTTTGCAAGAAGCCACCAGAGAGGATTTCAGTGGAAATTATAAATAGCATATATATATATATATATATATATATATATATATATATATATATATATATATACATATACATATATATATATATATATATACATATATACATATATATATATATATACATATATATATATATATATATATATATATATATATATATATATATATATATATATATATATACATATATATATATATATGTAAATTCTACATTATTATATAGAATATATATTATATAATATGTATATTGTATATTATATATAGAAATTATTATTATTATTTCACACTTTCTTGGCTTTCGCCAGAAAGATTCACCTACCCGAACCAAGATTAAGGGTTAGGCTCAAAAGTTAAACTATGGTTAAGAACTTCCTATGTTCGCTGTGCCTTTTTCCAACACTTTCTCTGGCAGTTTCAAATTTTCGACAGAGCGAATGGTATCGTCTGGGATAAGGCCATTGCTGGAAATTACAATTGGATATACCTGGACATGATTCAGTTTGTAAAGTTGCCGAAGCTCTTGGCACAAGTCTTGATATTTCCTAATCTTTTCAGAAATAGTCTTTCCCGATATTGTCATCGGTTGGGACCGCTATATCAATGACATACCCACTTTGTTTCTTCCGATCAATTAATACAATGTCCAGTTTGTTATTTACTTCCGTGTGGTCTGTAATTATAAATCGATCCCAATATATCCTATTTTTTTTTACAGCGCCGTTAGGGCTCATATTGATAATAAGGAACCTCTTCTGTTGTCATGTTATTTTATAAAGCTTGGTGAACAATTTTGTGTCTCATCAGATTTTCTTTACCTTCCAACGCTGGACATCCCGACGAAATATGCTAGATTGACTCCATTGCATTTTTATATAGGCGACATCGATCACTTACATTTACTCCACATAAATATTTTTTGTAAGCATTGGTGGATACTGGTTTTGTATTGCCAAAATAAACCCTCCGGTTTCGGGAAATAGTTATACTTTCTTAAGCCATTTAATAGAGGCCTCCCAGTTAATTCCCGATTGAGATAAAGCATTGTAAAAACGACCATGTAGTACTTTACTTTTCGGTGGGGACTTCTTTATGTTCCATTTTAATTAAGTTCAAAGCTTTGTAGGCATTATCCAGCAATTTTATGGCTGACCATACAAGAGAGTTTCTTAGTTGGAAAGTGCACCTTAAAATTATTTTCTTGCTCTCTACAGTTTCTTAGTAAGCAGACGGAAGTCCCCTTCCTTCTTTTATCCGTGGTAAGTACATCCTCTCAATTGAAGATTTGGAATGTCATGTCCTAGCTGAGGTAAAAAGAACTCTCACCAAACGATTCATTTCCTCCAGCTCCGTATTAGACCATTCTAGAACGCCAAACGTATAAGTCAAGACAGGAATAGCCCATGTATTTATAGCATTAATTAAATTGCTAGATGAGAAGGTAGGTTTAGAGTAGTATTTTTATTCTCTTCTTGAAGGTACGTTTTGAGTATTATTTTTATTCTCTTCTTGAATTCTTCTTTATTACTTTTCTTGAATTTTAAAAGTTGACCGAAACCTAAATATTTATAAGAATCAGAATTGTTTAATTCTTTTATTGTTCAATTGTTAATCAGTTCTGTGTCTTGTTTATTCATTGCTTCGCCTCTTTCAACATGAATTATTGCATATTTATCTATTCCCAATGTCATACCTATCTGTAGGTAACTATCCAAATAGTTAAATCATTACTAAATGATTTAACTATTTGGATCATGTTCTCAAGTTCTTCTTCACTCTTAGAATACTGTTTTTAAATCGTCTATATATAGAGCATGAGATAATCTGGTTCCATTTTTATCGAGTCTGTAACCTATAACTGAATCATTTAATAATTAGCTTAGTGAGTTTAATGAGAGACAATATAGTAATGGACTCAAAAAGTCTCCTTGAAGTATTCCTTTATTTATAGGTATACATATATTGGAATGACTAAATTTAGGCAGGTGTAATTTCACCTTCCAAGTCTTCATTAGACGTTCTATTAGCTCCACTATTTTAATGTCTATTTTGTACATGTATTAACCACTTGTGAGGAACTGAATTATTATTTTATTTGTCAACACTTTTACAAAAGGTTTTTTGTTACTTGAGAGGGAGAGAATCAACTCTAACCATCTCAGGTATGTTCTATCTTAATTTCTCTTGGATGTTGAGAAAGCTTCTTAAAATTCTGGCAGTATTTAACAGTACCGCTTTCTTATCTTCATTTATTAAATGAGTTGGGAGGCCCAGCCTATTATTATTAAGTTTATACAAACTTTTTAACTCAGTTGATAGACTTTGATACTTCCCCGCCGATAGTAGGGTCCTTGATAGACCTTGATAGTAAGGCGCCGATTCGCTTAATAATTTACGTTTTAGACCAATCGCCTGGCGATTATTATAATATATATATCAGACATAGTATCACCAAAGAAAGATTCAATTGAAATCGGTGACCCCACATCCGAAACCTCCCCTTGTTAGTGAAATAATATGTGTGGACATCAAAAAGAAAAAAAAATGTTTAAATAAACCTAATAAAGTGAAACAAATTTTTTTTTTTTACCGCTCTCAGCAATCGATTGCTTCTCCGACCTGACATCCGGACTTATATTTATATCACCTGGAAGTCCATCATGATCAGTGAGATCCAAAGATAGGGCGTGCGCCGAATGAAAGCCACCTAAAGCGATCAGTAACAGAGAAATAAACATGACTGTATCATGAAAGGTGGATTCTCTTTTATATCTATATATATATAAATATATATAGTTTTAAAAAAGATAATAACTTAATCACCTTCAGATAAATGGAAGATATTTACTTATTTTGGTAATTGCAAAAGTATATTGCTCTTTTTGGTGAAAACTAGTTTTCTATGATCTTCGGTTCAAAAGATATTTATTTCAAGTCGCGATAAAAGGCTTACTGATAAGAACTCACGTACTTCTTACTGATAATAAAATAATAAAAACTGATGTTTGACGGATGAAGGTGGGATTAAGTCAAGGTATGTTTAGAGATTTCAAAAATATGTAACTTCACTAACAGCGACAATAGTGTTAAGCCAATTTTTTCTTTTATTTCACTTGTTACCGAGAGGAGAATATGGAAAATATAAAAAAATAAAGAAAAACACTTGCGGATGTAAAAAATCTGGTGCGCGCAACACACAACTTTCACTTACTCTTTGAACTTTGAATAAAAATTATTTTCTGGCCATGTTAGGCTATTATAAAATGTTTTAAATTGCATTTTAAACTGAGCTAAAGCTAAAAAAACACAAATGCTATTAAAATAACAAAAGTCCTATTTATTATATCACCGGTAGATTATGAATTGTAGGATTCGTTGATTATGGATTGTTCGATCCATTGATTATGGATTGTACGACTATAAGTCATTAAACTGTTATTTTCCAAAACTAGAGACCATATCTTATCACCTAATTGTCCGATTTTAACGATTTTTTTTTTGTTTTTTAGGCTATTTCATAAACTTTTAGAAAACCATACAACATTCCCAAAAAAGTGTATACTTTTTGAGTTATTCGGAATTTAATTTTACCATCCCTCGTAACTTTTTTTCAGCTTCTTTTCGTTGATGAATGTTATATAGATAAATTTGAAGGGTGTCGAGAAAATGACTTTAGCGAAGTTTCAATGAAATCGGTACATTCGTTTAGGCGCTACAGTCTATAGCTACGTTTTTCTGCATTTTTATTTTTTTTCTCCTTTATTAACTTATCAAATTCTTTCAAAAGTTATATTTAGCATTTCTTCGTAACTCTGAATAATGCGAAATAATTATCTTTTTAAAATAAACCATATTAAAGGTACTTTAGAGGAAGACGTATATGAACATTGGGCATTTAAGCCCTGTAAAGTGACATCAATGGGAATAAGACCTAATTTATATTAAAGACCACTTAATTATACAATGATACACCGAGTTTAATCAAAATCGTTAGAGCCGTTTTTGAGAAAACTGTGAAAATGTGTTTCAGCGTTGATATAAAGTGGCACTTCCGGTTAGCCGATTTTAAGGAAAAAGTTGCCGTCACAACTAAGGCATACACCTATCTTAAATACGTGATATCAGTTTCATAGGACTTTTCGTTTTTGAGCTAGACTGCTAACATACAAACACACAGACACACAGACCATTTGTCGGGACTTGGTCATTTCGACTCAGGATACCTCAAAACGTATAAATCCGTCGAAAACTCAGATTCAAAAATTTTCTCGATCGCAATACTTAAGTGAAAGTAAAAACCGTTTTGATATTTGTATTTTCCATAGTTTGTGAAATGTCTGAACGCACTTCACAGTTTCTAAAACGATTGCTTACCTTTTATATAGTAAGTATAAGCATGAGGAATGTACCTCAGTATTAAGGATTTAATTTTTGAGGATCTATTTATTTTATATTTTTCTATAACGGTAATTATTCTAGAATAAAAAAAAGAAAAATAATGTATATAAAATGACGTTCAAGTGGCCCTTGAAGAACAGTTGATATACTAAAATAATCATAAAGCTAGAAAAGAGACAAAAGGTGATTATGTTATAAATGGAAAAGTCCTCACAACAAAGTCAGCAATCTCCAACACACAAGTGAATAGTCAACTTGCCAACGTTTCAGGCATCATCAGGGAAGATAAACCAAGATCGATTGCAGCAAACATCTCACGAAGCCATCCATATACATACTCCTAACAGCTAAGGAAGGGTGTATTGAACAGCTGACTAGACGTAATACATGGGGGGAAATAAACAAAACTAAAATATAATAATACAAAACGTGTTAACTTAAATTATTTTTTGTTTTTTTATATCATATAAAATACTAAATAAATAAATAACTTCTATACCCCAAAAAACACAAAGGATAGGCGGCCATTCCACAATTAATTTTATTTTATTTTGCTTCCTCATTACCTAAGGAAGGGAAGCATTGTGTTCCTGGGAGAGATTTAAAAAAAATTGTGTGTTCAGAATCGAAAATTTCCACTCGCATTTTACGTTTCATACATCAATGATCAAATTTGGTTTGGAGTCTTGTCTGTCTGTCAGTGGTCAAATCGTAACGTGCATATTGCCTACTATCATTTATCCAATTTTCAAGGAATGTGTGGGTCCCATATCAATTTCATCTAGTGCGCAAACGTATATTTATTGAAATGCCAAAATTAATGTAAATAATTTTTAACAGTATAGTGACTGTGAAATATCTAAGGAATTGATAATGTTTAATGGGGATTAGGTCAATACAAGATTTTTATGAGGTTGTAAAATTTAATAATTTCTTCATAAGTCTTAAGGGGGATAACTTTTTATATGGGGTATATAAGTGAGATTTAATAACTGCATTTACTCTCACAACAATTTTTTCTTTATTTTCATGACATTTCAGAATCCACTTTCTTATCTCATCTTCAGACTAGAATTTAAAATATTTTTCTTATTTATATTTTTTTACTATCAGTGCAATATTTTGTTATTATAATTTTCAACAACAATAACAGAAATTGCCAATCTTACCAGTATCTCATCCTAATATCATCTTATTTTGTTTTATATGGTTTGTCATATTTTTTTTTATTTTTTTATTATTCATCCCTAAAATGCAATAATGTTCTGTTTTTATTTGTTTTATTATTACTATTTTTATGTATGTAGCAAGTTTCTATAACGAATGCATTACCTTATATTATATTGTGGTCTTTTTCAGCGCCTAATCAGATATGAACCAAACCTTGAATAAAGAGTCAAATTCCAAAGCATTTTTACATATTTAATTTGTCAATTATATAAGCATAATGGCTCCCTATTTTAGCATCATCAGTTTCATAATTTATTGCTTTTTTATTTTGTTTAATGATAAATGTGGATTCCATTATTATTTTTCTATGTGTACTATTTGTTTCTTTATATAATATTTGTGGTTGTGTTAAATTGAATTTATATCTATTTGTGATGCTATGGTGAGCTAGGGCTGTTTTATTGTCTACTTTACTATTTTTTGAATCATTATATTGTTGGTTCATTCTTTTTTCTAAGATTTCTCTCGTTTCGCCTATGTATGTCGATTCGTGATTATTACAATCTACCTTGTAAACAATATCTTTTTGATTTAACTTATTCATTATTAATATTAATATTATTTATTATTAATATAACTTACCATTACCTTTCATCTGACTTAGGTGGTAATTTATTTTGTTTTGATGATAAGAACTTGTGTTTATCTCACAGTTATTATGATTAATTTTTTTTTAAATTTTACGTGTTAAAGTAGGGATATAATTTAATCTGTAATATTTTTTCTTTGTTTTCCAGATTCATTTTCCCGTGTGTAATGATTATTTTTTATTTCTATGTTTTTTCTCTGTCACTATAGTGTTATTAGATGTAAAAAAAATCTTTTATGGATTTTTGGATAAATTACATTTTATTTTGTAATTTTTTATGGATTAAAAGTTGCAAGTTTTGGTTATTTTCTACTTTATCAAAAGGTTTTTTTTTTTGTATTTTCTCTTTGTTTATTTATTTGAAACTACATTTTTTTAATCATTAGTTTAGGGAACCACACCAACTGAAGTGATAAAACAAGAACTAACGACGCTTGGTTTCAAAGTACTTCAGGTAATCAACGTTTTGAAGGAGAATAAGGAGCAGCCTGGAGTAAAAAATAAAGTTCCACTACCTTTATTTTTCGATAAACTAGAGCCATTCCCTGTGGTATTAGGAAAATATACGAAATCAAGAGATTGTACTACACTATCGTGAAGATAGAGAAGCTATACTCCAACAGAGAAATCGTAAAGTACCACAATTACCAGGCGTTTGGCCACACGAAGACTTATTGCCACCACTTGCCGCGTTGCGTGAAATGTTGTGAACAACAGAAATCAGGAGAGTGCAAAAACCTATACAAGATCCTGCAGTTTGTACCCTATCCCTAGAGGGACACCCGGCCAACTACAATAGCTGTCAAACTTATAAGAACCTCAAATCCAGATACCAGAAGAACCGGATTCAAGATAAGACAACCATATCAAGAAGAGAACCTTATAGAATTGTTAATAATAATGTATCATACTCAGAACTACTTGGAGGTAAGAACCCAACTAATAAATGTGAAGCCCTGCCGCAGCAACTACCTCAACCACAACATCAATATCCTGTTCATACTAACACACCTAAATATCAACAACCTCCAATTCCTCATATTCCTCCTCCCTCAAATGCCACAGATCTCACCAGTTTAAAACCCCTCAATCATTCCCTTAAACGTTTTGACGAACTTTTCTCAGAACATATCCATTAATACTTAAATTATCAATGGCTCCTATTTCCAAAACATCTTCACCGTCCTTCATTAGAGGCGCAAGAAACTCTTTAACTGGAAACTGTTTCATCAAATCCTTTTCGATAAAATTGACCTCAGAATAACCCTTAAAGACCCAGAAGACATCGATAATGCCGTAGATTCCTTTACCACCACTGTTCAGCAAGCAATCTGGACTGCTTCCTCCCTAAATCTCCCCAAAAATTCCTAAGAGAAATAATTCACCTCAATACCTGCTAGACCTAATTCATATACCGTGCCAGAATATTATGACAACGTTCAAGACACCCCAACGATCGCCGCTCTTATAATGATTTCAGTAAACGATTAAAGCAGGAACTGGCCACCTTCAAATCCCAAT